TGCACCTGTAGTCCCAGCTACTTGGGAGGCTAAGGCAGGAGGATCTCTTGAGCCCAGGAATTGGAGGTTGCAGTGAGCTATGATGATGCCACTGCACTCTATCTACCCTGGGTGCCAGAGCAAGACTCTGCCTCAAAAAAATAAGTAAATAAATAAATAAATAATGTTGACCATTCAAGTACTTAAAGTTCAAAAGATGTCATGGTGTCTAGATTTTTAAACAGGAATTTGAATACCACTGGTAAAAGAAATACGTTTATACAATTTTTTTTTTCTAATTTCCCAAGACTTGGATATGTTAAGCCTTCTCATTACACTGCCAAATGCTTATGATTCATGCTAGCAGAAGTTACTAGGGATGAGGAGAAGGTGGGAGTGTGTGTGTAACAGTTATGTATGACGCAGAAAGAGAGATGAATTAGAAGGGAGGGTATTTTTAGATTCCTTTTTTGAAACAAAAAAAGAGCTTAAATCAGGTGATTTGTTTACCTTTTTCGTTTTTAAAATAGGGAAAATATGACAAAAAATGTGAATTGGAATTTTCTGAATCACATACAATTCTATTTCAGGAGAATAATTTTCATAATTGCAGGCTACTTTCTTAAAATACCTGAAAAATTCCTTTCTAAAAATATAACTCCAGAAGGATAGAAAAATGTATTTATGTCACAGAGTACTTGTACATCAAAGGAATTTGCTACTTCCATCTAACCTACACAATAGCATTTAAAGAACTAACTAGTAAATTTAATGTCTGAGTTAGACAAAATGAAGGGGAACGGAACTGACATGTAATTTCTTTCACTAGGTATAAAATTTTAAAATTTTCATTCATTAATTCAAGGATAATTTATGAAATAGGAAGACACTGGGTTACATGTAGTGGGTACAAGGATGAGTAGGACATAGTCCCTGCCCTCAAAGTACTTTCAGTCTAGAGGGAGAAACATACAGACACTTTGCCTACATACACAGATATATACATGCTCCCATGCAAACACACCTGCATATACCCATATACACATATATTCACACACATACACGTTTACACAAAACATACATGTTCACACACACATTCACATATATATTCACATATAAACACATATACACACACGCATATGTGCTTGGGTGCTAACAAAGTGCAGACAGTGAGTAGAGTACGTTTTCAAATTAAGAAGGAAAGGAGAAAGACACTACAGTGGCAGCTGTCTCCGTCTTGTGAGATAGCTATTATAAAAGCTCAGTGAGGCTAAGGAGACAGTCTTCGTGGAGTTGTTAAATACTAGGGAGTTAGGTTTACCAAGATCTGGATTTAACTGCAAATCTACCATTATCTGTGAAGCCATACCAAATTATTTAACTCTCTACCTCAGTTTTCCTCTGTTTTTCGTAGGAATTTTCATAATACCTACCTCATAGGGTTGGTATGAGGTTTAAATAAAATGATGTGCGTAAACCACTTAGCACAGTGCCTGGCATGTAGCAAGCACTCAGTACATACTAAATTTCCAATTTTTAATGATAGATTCATTATTATCAAGGAAGATTATTTACCAGGTAAATTGGGAAGATAGTACTCTCCTCACCAAGCTGTTTAAAGAGAATGTCTTAAACTATTTTTAAGGTGAGTGGAGCCAAAAAATTGTGTATTAAATGAATACATGGTAACTGGTTAAACCTTACTTTTAAGGTCTAAAAGTTCAGGGAAGCCAAACTATGATTTATAAATAACATAAACTCTGTATATTACGGCGTTTACCAGGAAAATCTGAATCTGCCTAAATGATATTTTAGTATTATTAAATAATTTCTGTGGCTATAACTTTATGGTGAAAATGCACAAGTTTTTATTAACTCCATGATCATTTCACCAAAGTATGTTAGATTGGTACATCCTTTATAGAATAGTAACATGATTTGATATCATTCATTGATATGATGAGGCAATTCATAAAATAAGAAACAAGAGTTGTCAATATAAATATGAAAAGGTGTTACATCATTAATAATCAGAGAATTCTAAATTGAACTGACAGGTTATTTTGGGGCTTTCAGCGTGGCAAAGATGAAAAAGATGGGTAATAGCTTGGTGCTGTTGAGAGTGTAGTAAAATTGGCATTCTTATGCATTGTTGATAGGAGTCTAAATTGGTACAACCAACCTTTCTAGAGGCCAATTTGGCAATACAGGTAAAAAAATTTAATATAGTCTTTGATTCATCAATTCCACTCCTTGAATTGTATCTTAAGGAAATACAAAAAGACAAATACATGAAGATGCTTGCATATTCATGCTCACCGCAGTATTGTTTATGATGACAAAAAATTGGAAACCACCTAAATGCCTACTAATAGAGAAATGTTTAAGTAAATTATGGTACAGTTAGACAGCAGAACTCTATGCAGCTATTAAAAAGGGTGAGACAGATCTATCTGTGCTGGCATGGAAAGATCTCAATGTTCCATATATTGGATGATTCTGTGTTTTAAGAAAAGGTATGCATAGAAAAAATATATACATCAAACTTTGAAAATAGAGGTATAATTTAAATACCATATAATTCACCCATTGTAAGTGTACAGTCATCACTATAACCCAGTTACAGAATGTTTTTATTACCTCTGAAAGTTCCCTCATGCTCATAGGCTTAACTTTTTTGGACTGTATGCATTATTTTATTAAAAGGAAAAGCTTTCATAAGAGATTCATTTCTTTTTTCCATAATATATGAAAAAATCTATGAGAATATATATTTTTTAAGGCTAGTCAAATGAAGCAGTGGGAGTGGAGAAGGAACAAAGGAATATGTAACTGGTTGTGATCAATTAGTTGTAAAAATTTTAGTTAACTAGTTTTTTTTTGTTTGTTTGATTTTTGAGACAGTCTTGCTCTGTTGCTCAAGCTACAGTGCAGTGACGTTGTCATAGCTCACCGTAACCTCAAACTCCTGGGCTCAGGCCTATTTCTTAATGATATCTGAACTTTATCTGCTTTGCTAGTGATTTTTTGAAAACCATTTTATTGAAATATGATTGACATACAAAAAACTGTTCATATTTAACGTATACAACTTGATGAGTTTGGAGGTAAGTGTGCATCACCACCATTTACGCCGTAAACATATCCATCATCACATGCTTGGTTAGGTTGGGGGTGAATTTGAATAGGGGGAAGGCAGGAGGAGAGAATTACAGACAGCTTCTTACTTTGTAATTTCTGTATTATTTGAATTATTTACAACAAGAATATACTATCTTTCAATTTGAGAAAACAGTAAAGGCTTTTTCTATTTTGAAAAGAACGAAAAAAGGAAACAGACATATATCCATTGACCAAAATCTACTTCTGGTAATTTATTCTGAGAAAATAATCAAATATGTGGAAAAGGATTTGTGTACAAAGATATTTATCCATGTTTTATTTAAAACAGAAATATTATAAGTAATCTAAATATCTCATGATGGAAGAGATTACTAACTGTACTAAAATATGAAAAGTGCAGGATGCAAACCTTTATATTTAGCATAATCTCATCTACATAAAAGAAGTTAATGCACAGCCAAAAAAATCCTGTTTGGAAATATAATAAAATCTTACCAATGATTATGTCTGGATGGTAGAATTATAGTACTATTTTCTTCTTCATGCATTTCTTCATTTTCTTCATAAATGACACTAATTAAAAATAGATTAATTATGGCAGTGTTTTCACAGGTGTATACATTTATCAAAACATATAAAAGCACATGTTTTAAATATGTACAGTTTATATCAATATACCTCAATAACACTTTTAAAAAAGAAGTATTTTGAGAAACCAAATAATTTTAAGCCACGTACTAGAAGAGGGGTTCTGTTATGCCGTTTTGGGGCTGGAGGGCAAAATGGTTGGGGATGGGTTGGTGGGCATTATATGAATAGCAACATTGCCTCTGCTTCAGATACCTCCGTTCATTCATTCACCAGATCTGCCTGCCCATTATATTGCCAGGAATGTTGCCAGGTACTTGGATACCATGAAGAACAACGAGCCCCTGCCCTGAAAGAGCTCTGGTCTGGTGGAGGTGGGGAAGGTAGGTCACCGTCTGACAGATTCCAACCAACGCCTACACTGCCCCACTCGGCAGTGCTGCCCAGGGGGCCCGGAGGCAGATCCGGAAGCGAGGGCCTTAGTTCAGGTGGAGTCACGAAGGGTGGCACTAGGTTGACAGCTGTGGAGGTCGCCACAAGTTAGGTCACCTTCAAGGGAGTGTCAGGTTCATCACTTGGGAAGTGGGCTTAAACCATTTTTATATATCTATGTCTATCTTACCCGCACACTTAACAGCAGGAAGAACTAAGAGTGAGCGTTTGCCAGTGCAGGCACCGTGCACAGGGCTCACATCCATTGCCTCATTAACTCCTCGCCACAACCTTCAGGTGGGGACTATTAGGACCTTCATTTCGCAGTGAGGAAACTGAGGCTCGGAGAGGTTACCTGCCCAAGGTCACAGAGCTCTGGCCCCAAAGCTGAAGCTCACATCCACCACATAGACTCCCCTCTCACTGTACTCTCTCTGGGGCCCGTTTGAAAGCGGAAAAAGTCCACTTTCCGGCCCCAACCCGAACAGCTCACCTTTCACTCTTTACAATTTTTCCCAAATGCAGAACGGAGGCAACATCCGCTTCCACAATCAACAGGGTCGTGCCAACGGGGGCCGCTCCACTAAGGCCGTGGACTGACAGGATTTGGGGCTTGGAGGGCAAATGGGGAACAACTGTCTGGAATCGAAGAGCACAAGCGTCCACCACACACCGAAAGACAAGCGCAAGCGATCCTCTCGGGGCCGCCAGCTGGCGGGATCCAACGCGCGTGCGCGGGGCCAGAGGGGACGCCCCCGCGCGAGCGCGCGGTGAGCCGGGCGCGTTACCGGGCGGGCGCGCAGCCGGGGGAGCGCGCGGGCGCGCTACGAAGTCGGCGTCGGCGTCGGCGCGCTCCAGGCCGAGGCTGTGTGGGCTGTGGAGGGAGCCAGGCGGAGGTGGCAGCGGCGGCGGCGCCCCAGAGCCGAGGGAACGCGCGGGCCTCGCGCCGCGGGAGCAGACGGCTGCGGAAGAGACCGCAGGCTCGCTGCCCGAGGCGGGAGGGCTCAGCCTCTTGACTGCCCGCCTCAGCGGCCGCCGGCCGCTTCCGTTGCCCGGAGTGGCCGCCGCCCCTGCAGACTCGCCGTGACACGGGCCTAAGCCGCCGCGACTCGGGCGTCCGGACAGCTCGGACCCTTCGGGCCAGGCCGGGTGGGGACGGGCATCCCGGCAGGTGCCGCCCCCAGAGGGTGGGCCCGGGGCAAGGGGCCCACCCGCGCGGCCCGCGGGCCGGGCTCGGCAGAGGGGCCGCCCGCGCAGCGCCCCCACCGTGGGCCGGAGCCGAGTCGCCGCCGCGTCTTCTGGGGGACGGCCGGGCCGGAGCTGCGGGAGCCGGGAGACCCCACGCCGGTCCCCGGCCGCCGCCCGCCGGGCTCGCGCAGGAGAGGAGGGAGGAGAAACTTTGCCTTTTATTGTTTTTAGCTGTTAAGTGCAAGGAACTCTGTGTTGGAAGGAAAAATGTCCTTCTTCAATTTCCGTAAGATCTTCAAGTTGGGGAGCGAGAAGAAGAAGAAGCAGTACGAACATGTGAAAAGGGACCTGAACCCCGAGGAGTTTTGGGAGATTATAGGAGAATTGGGTGACGGAGCCTTTGGGAAAGTGTACAAGGTAAGAGGGAGAAAACGGGAAGTTGCACTTCTAAGATAAAACAGCCACTGGCCGGGAGTGGCACGAGGACTTCTCGCTCCTCTTGTCCCTTTCCTGCCTCTTGCCCTTTTTTTTTTTTTTAAACTTTGTAGTGGTACGTTGAAACTTAGTTTATCCAAGGAGTAGCTAAGAAGTAGGGTTTACGGTTGAACAAAATGGGGCCTGGGTGTAGTTTAGAGCGACTGCTAAAGGGAGACAGGGTTATACAGTCTACTATGTTGAACTTCAAAGGAAATGAGAGTGTTCTTTAATTTATAGGAGGGGTCTGGTTGTACCCTTCAAGTATTTTAAAATCAGAAGCTTATTACACTTTTCAGTGGATTTGTGTTTGTCCAGTAAGTTTGCATTCGCATGCATGCTAGTTACTAACAGTTCCGTTTTTAGAGTCCAGGGCATATATTTGGTTGTATCTATACTAATGCATAACCAGTTTGTTGGGATCAGAGCAAAGCGATTGCTACTTGCAATCTATTCTTAAGTTGGTTGCTTGACAGTATAGTATAAAATGGAGTAGAATTTATGATAGAAAATTTCCGGAAGAAAACCTGCATGTGGTACTAGTTTCTGAATTTAATGACAATAAGCATTGATTAAAAGTCAATATCAGTGCTTAAGAAATAAAACACAACACACACACACACGTGTTTATTTATTTCAATGGAAAGGTTTGGCATTTCAACCTGACAGCATTAATGTTAACTATTTACTGTCTCCTAAGGAGCATATGAATGATGTCATCGGAATATTTTCATCCTGAAGGGTGAGGTTTTTATGAGACACAGTTTAGGGGCAGGACCTACAGGGTTGCCTAGAAGTGAAAACATAAATAAATAACTTATGTTTATACAGAATGTTGCAGTTTTTAAGTATTTTCAAATAATTTGGCCCCCACAAGAATCCTGTGAGGTAGATAGGGTCAGTAGTAGTATCTGCATTTCACAGATGAAAATACTGAAACTCAGAAATTGTTCACAGTCATGTGAGTCACAGCCTAGACTTGAACTCAGGTCTTCTGACCCCATATTTACTACTGTTTTTTATTTTACCATTCTTTGGTAGAAATGACAGCATTTTCCTACTTTCTAAGCACCATTACACTTTGGCCTTTGCCCTGCCTGGAATGCGTCTTGTCAAAACTAGTCCTCATTCTTTACCCAGACTGAAATACCCACTCCTTTCTTTGTGCTTTCAGAACACATTGTTCACCTGCTTCCTATAGCACTTGGCATTTATTGCATTTAATGTGTTTATGTATCTATAATAAAATTAGGGGCCAAAATTATGGTATACATTTGGGTTCATCCATTGCCTTAGCACATAGTGCATCTGTCTTTTTATTTGTCGAAATGAAAGAGTATATTTTACCTACATGTGAATGTTATTGAACCTGTCATATGCTGTGAAAGTTGAAAAAGTAAACTTAATTGTGTGGAGGGTAGAGGATGGGTTTTAGCAAGAGTTATATAAGATGAGTGGCAGGAAGGGCTTCAGTGCAGTGGGAAGATCACTCCTGGGACTCAAGAGTTGTGTTTCAGAGCTAGCTGTCACAGACCAGCTTTGTGGTCCTACACAAAACACTTAACTTCTCTGGACCTCCATTTTCTTAGCTGTAAAATCATAGATTTCCCTAAAAGTTTGTTTAGGTTCTTTCATCCATTAAAGTTCTGTGTGTGTGCAGATAGCCAGGAAAGGCAAAAATAAATTCTCAAGGCATCTAGAATCTTGTAGTTAGAAGGTGGTAAGTGATTATGGACAGTTTTCATGGTGTAAATATGTTGTTTTATCGAATATAAACAGCTTAGTATTAAGAGTACTGGCTCTGGAGTTGGAATATATCTCAGCTCCCTCACTCAATAGCAGCATGTGACCTTGGGCAGGTTACTTACTTGTTTTGTGCCTGACTCTTCTCATCAGTAAGGTCTATTCCTCAGCATGTGAGGACTAAAGGAGATAATAAATAAATATAATGCACATAGAAAGAGCTCAGTAAGTGGTAGAAATTACTCTTATTACACTTAGAGCTCATAGAAGCAAAATACAGGATGAGACAGGAAAAGGAACCAAGAATATTATAAACCATTTTCTTGGTTTCTTGGCACAGGCAGATTGTGTGGAGATACTACAGCTCTGTTAAATTATTGATATTTTGTGAGGCCTTCTACAGAGTTATATATCTTTCTATGGTGAAACATTAATTGAAAATTTTCTGAAAAATAAGAGACTCTCTAGTTAAATACTATAAAATTATGTCAAGGATAATTTCTGTGGGCTTGATTACTATGTTTTAGGATGAAATTTGCATGGGTTCTTTGCATCTTTTTCCTTTCACTACTTTATAGTTCCAACTGCCCTAGTCCTAGGGTATAAGATTTTTTTTAAAAAAAGAAAATTTGAAATTAAAACTGGTCTGATCTTTTTTGGCCTCTTTTTCCTAAAAGTTTTTGTTTTTCAAGAATCCCTAGAAATTGAGAATTTATAAACTTCCTTCTATTTGGGGACAAAAGCTGTCAAACCTTAACATTGTATGTAATGGTATAAAGTAGAAAATTGTTTATAAACTTGATTCTAACATTTGCTAATGGAAATTGGTAACTGTTACAAAGATAAAATTGTACGTACAGATTGAGTATCCCTTATCCAAAGCACTTGGAACTGAAAGTGTTTTGGATTTCAGATTTTTTTCGGATTTTGGAATATTTGTGTTATATTTACTGGTCAAGCATCTGAAAATCTGAAATCCAAAATGCTCCAGTGAACATTTCCTTTGAGTGTCATGTCAGCACCCAGAAAGTTTCAGATTTTGGAGCATTTTGGATTTTGGATTTCTGGATTTGTGATGCTCAACCTATAGTAATCATGTTATGTATTTAGTTTATTTGAATCATTTTTCGATCATATAGCTGTGTTTCTTCCACTCAGTCCAGCACTATACAATTCTAAAAAGTTGCTTCCTTGCCTGAAATTATTTTCTATTTTAAAAATAGTATTTGACATGTAAATGAAGATATGTCATACCCTTCACAATTTTTAAAATTTTTGGATTTCTATTATTTTTAACAGGAAAAAAAAAGACATAAAATTGTGAATTGGATTGCATTTTTAGAAAGGTATTTTATCTGTCAAACCAGTTGAAGTTGAACTCCTTGATGTGTGCTCTATGGAAATGATTTTTTTATGACAACTGATGGGTGTGTACCTTTTTAAAAAATAGTGGAATATACAATCTTTGTATCGGAAAGTACAGAAACATATGTACATTTAGTAAAAAATAATGTGAATTCTTATTAAAAACAATCAGGTTGAGGAATTCTGCCAACACCCTGGGTTATTCCTGCCTCCTTTCTGTTTCTGGTTCTTTCTCTCTCCCTAAAGGAAACCACTATCCTAAGTTATTCGTTTATTTGTTTTTCTTTATAGTTTACTATCTAGGTTTATATCCCTAAACATTGTAAATTTACGTTTGTATGCACTTGAACTTTATATGAATGGAATCATATTGAGTGTATTTTGTTGTCTTGCCTCTTTCAAAATCAACATTATGTTTGTTAGGCTCATTTTTGTTACTGCCTAGAGCTGTAGTTAGTTCGCTTTCATTGTGGCATAGTATTCCATTATATGATTATATCTCCAATTATTTACCATTGTACTATTAGTAGACATATTAGTCACTTCCAGTTTTTGGTGGTTACACGTATCGCTGGTGCACATATGCGTGAGTTTTGCTAAAACTTAATCCAGGAGTGGAATTGCTGGGTTGTAGGGTAGTTTATATAATCTGATGGTATATTATATTTTTTATTGTGGTTTTAATTCACCTTTCTCAGATTACTAATAGGTAATTCTTTTCATATCTTTATTGGTAATTTGGATTTCTTCTTTTGTGTTCCAGTCTCTTACTCATTTTTCTTTTCTTTTCTTTCACTCTTTTTCTTTCTTTCTTTCTCTCTCTCTCTCTTTTTTTCTTTCTTTCTTTCTTTCTTTCAACAGGGCCAGAGTGCAGTGGCATCATCATAGCTCACTGCAACCTCCAACTCTAGGGCTCAAGCAATCCTCCTGCTTTCGTCTTCTGAGTAGCTAGGACTATAGGTGTGTGCTACCACGTCCAGCTAATTTTTGTAATTTTTGTAGAGATGGGGTCCTGCTGTATTGCCCAGGCCTGTCTCAAATCCTGGCCTCAGGTAATCCTATCTATCACTTTGGCCTCCCAAAGTACGGGGATTATAGGTGTGAGCCAGCACACTCGGCCTATTATTCATTTTTCTATTGATGTCTTTTTCTTGTTTATTTGTAGAGAGTGTATATGTGAATATATGTATTTTGAATTTTAACCATTGGGTATTCATAGTTATTGCAAATATATTTTCATTCTTTGACTTGTCTTTTCATTCTTATTATAGTATCCTTTTATGAACAGAATTCTTGATTTTATTTATTTATTTATTTATTTATCTATTTATTTTTTTTATTTCAGCATGTTATGGGGGTACAGATGATTAGGTTACGTATAAGAATTCTTGATTTTTAATGTAGTCCAATTTGTCAGTTTTTTCCTTTACAGTTAAAGCCTTTTGTGTTATGTTTAAGACATTCTTTCATAACCTGTGATCATGAAGATAATCTTCGGTATTCTAAAAGCCTTACTGTTTTTAACAGTTAGGTCTATAATCTACCTAGAGTAGATTTTTGTAAATGGTATAAGGTAGGGATCCAATTTCTTTTTTTTTCCCATGTGGATACCCAGTTGCCCCAGAAATATTCACTGGGGGAGAAATATTTCCCCACTGCTCTGCAGTGGCCTATTATATAACATATGTCTTTTTCTGCAATCTCTATTCTTTTCATTCATATATTTGTCTATTCCTGTACCAGTATTCCACTGTCTTAATTAGAAAAGCATTAAAACAAATCTCTGCTAGATTTAGAGTTCCCCTTGTTCTTCTTCTTCAACATTGTCTAGTATA